TAAATATACTTTTTAACAGTTTTCTATCTAGAATAACTAGGTTTTTTATACCCAAAAATAAAGTAGCAAACATTTTCTAATTTTTTATCCAAATGATGACTTCGAAAACTTCGAATTTTGCCACTTAGTTAAAAATACTTTTTTTAGTCTCGAAAGGCTCTTACTCTATTTACAATATTAACAAACATTATTTCCTGGAATATTCATAGTTTAGTATTTTTTTTCTATCTAGAATATCAGGAGACAATATTTTCAGGTTTATTATGGCCAAAAACAAACTAGAAGTAATTTTCCAATTTTTGACCGAAACCATTGGCTAACCCCTTTGGAAAAATTCATATTCTACCATTATGTTTAAAATACTTCTTTTTCTATCCAGAATATCAAGAAATATCATTTTTCCGATATTTTATGCTCAAAAATAAACTAGGAAAATTTTTCCACTTTTTGACCAAAATCATGGGCTAACCCCTTTGGAAGAAGTCGAATTTGTCACTATGTTAAAAATACTTTTTCATAGTCTAGTACTTCTTTCTATCAAATATCAAGAAATAACATTTCCATTTTAGTAAGGCTTATTTCTATCCAGAATATCAAGAAACAATATTTTCAGATATTCTATGCCTAAAATTAAGCTAAAAATTAAAATTAAATTAACAATAGGATAACACCTTTAAAAAATTCGAATTTTGCCATCGTGTTAAAAATACTTTTTTTATAGTTTAAAACGCTCCTTCTCTATTTAGAATATTAAGAAGCATTATGGCTAGGAATATTTTGCCCAATAAAAGACATGGAAAATGTTTCCTATTTTTGACTGAAATGATGGTCTGACCACTTTGGAAAATTCCAATTTTGCAACTATGTTATTACCTTTATAATCAAGTAAGGCATGTTTTTTATCTAGAATATCAAGGAACAATTTATCTATTTTTACCAAGACCATGGGCTAAGCCCTTTGCAAAACTAAATTTTGCTCGAAGATCAAACTGCAGGAGAGATTCCATGTTTTCCAGTCCAATGCTGTGACTTCCACGATAGATCGCATGACCCAGTTAACATTGAATGAAACCTAGGACCAAGAAAAAACCAAGAAGGAGGCTGGAAAATGGCGTGCCTGTTCAGTGATTCCAACGTTTATTCTGAACTTTAACACAACAGCTTAAACGGCTAACCATTTGGTCAAATTTGTCAAATTGCACCCTTTTTTTCACCTGTGGTGGGATGCTTCCATGCATCCCAAGCCGAAGCCGGAAACACAGGTAACCCATGGTCGAAATATATGCATGCGTCGGCAGTAAGTCCTATAAAATGACCATGCATTGTCTAGGAAAGAACAAACACACCACTTAAGTGGAGTTAGATCATTTGTAATTAAACACTTTCAAATTGGTAGATTACAGAAACAATCGTTTTTTTTTTTTCGCTGATATTTCGTGCTCGGGCTTCCTGTGTGGAAATAATAATAATAATAATAATAATAACTTTATTTGAGTCTCAAATCATTCTAGCCGAGCACGAGTGCTGTACTAATTGGGGAGACTGTAAATCAAATAAATCAAATCAAATCAAATGTTGGTTTTTGAGGAGAGGGGAAAACCGGAGTTCCCGGAGAAAAACCTCTCGGAGCAGAGTAGAGAACCAACAAACTCAGCCCACATATGACGCCGGGTCCGGGAATCGAACCCGGGACACATTGGTGGAAGGCGAGCGCTCTCACCACTACACCAACCCTGCTCCCCAAGCATGGAAAGGTTTCTGGCACCCAGGTTGTACATAGCCATCATTAAACAGAGTCAGGATAGTAATAAAGTGCTCATTCTAGTACGTTGACTCAAAATTTGGGTTAAAGAATTTCATTTCTTTATTCTGCTTTCCAATATCTTTCATAAGTACAATGCAATGAATATTTACAAGCAATAATAAGCTAATCCAAGAAAGGTTTTCTGTACAAAAATCTTTATCCATGGCCTGCTGGATAATGTTTCCAAATAAGAGAAAAAAAGGCACATCACATTGATCACCAGACTTCAGTTCGACTGAAGAGCTTTGTGCTTTAAACTCCGGACAACCTCGTTCCCAGAGTTCACTCTACCCGTCTATACGAACGGCTAGAAGAGAACCATGGGGACGAGATTGAGTCTTGGATTCCGGATTCCGGACTCCAAATGCTGGCTCCTGGATTATGTCAGCAGACCCTCGATTCCAGAATCCAATCGTTATTGGGACATGGGATTCCAGATTCCTTCAGCAGTATTCCGGATTCCTCAAGCAAAAATTTCCCGCATTCCAGTGCCTGGATTCCCTTTGGGGGTGAGTCCTTCGTTTCTCTGGCTTTGATTATTGGCTGAGATTAAGTGTTACTAAGTTGCTTTAACTACTCGAGTATAACACTATTCTTTATGTCTCTGGATTAGTAAAGCGGGCGTAATATAAAGACGAAGTCATTAAAAACGTACTTTTTGCGACGTTTATCAACATTAAAAGCCAGTGAACATGTAACCTAAACTCAAAATCATTTATTTAAATTGTATTATAAGCTAAGAAGCTATAAGCGAGATTAATAAAAACGAAAAAAAAAAGTATGTACAGCCACAACGAAAAGTAACCAATGGCTCAGGACCTGAATGATCAAAAAACAAGTCAGTATCATGATCTGATACTCTTCACAGCCGTTGTGTGTGTCGTCACGCGTCACGCAAGGCTTTTCCTTCTAAGGAGGAGCGTTGCGTTACGAAAGTGATCTTACAACAGACGATTCGCTTCGGCGATTTTTAGCGCAACACAGCGTTACAATATTGTTACGACATTGTTGCGAATAGTTACAACATTGTTCCAACATTGCAACGATGTGTTGCGCTGAAAATCGTCGCTGCGAATTGTCCCGTGTAACATCACCTTAGGGGGCTACGATTTTGTGTGCAATTAAAAAATTTAATTTGACTAAAATATTCTTGCCTAAAGGTGTTAAATGTTACACGAGACGATTCGCAACGACGATTTTTAGCGCAACACAGCGTTGCACCATTGTTTCGAAGGGTGACAACATTGTTCCAACATTGCAACGCTGTGTTGCGCTAAAAATCGTCGTTGCGAATCGTGCCGTGTAACATCACCTTAAGACATATGATAAACATCTCTCTGTTATGATCATAAAGGTGAATAAATAATGTAAAGAGCCACGTCAGCCAATGAAAGAAGTAAATCCCCTGTTGTGAGCTAAGCCGGTTATTTCCGCTACAAAGCGCAAAGCTTTAAGGGCTACCATCCCATCGTTTTTGTCAAATGATAAAGTTGTCAGTATAGGTGATGTTACACGGGACGATTCGTAGCGACGATTTTTAGCGCAAAACATCGTTGCAATGTTGGAACAATGTTGTAACTATTCGAAACAATGTCGCAGCAATGTTGCAACGCTGTGTTGCGCTAAAGATAAAATCGTCGTTGCAAATCGTCCCGTGTAACATCACCTTATCATTGGGTCGACGCAAATATGGCAACGCAATGTTGTAATAAGCAACAAAAATGATTTCAAGTTCCAACTGTGTCACCTGAAAAAACTCCCGACAGGAACATGGCTTCCTTGTCCTCAATACGTGAAAAGAAGGGCTTTGAAATTCAGATTAGAGGCATACGTAATCTCCCTAAGATGGCCTCACATATGAATTATCCTACGGCAAGTGATCCATCCTTTTCTTCTAGTTGGCTAACTTTTCTAAAAATAAGACTTTCTGTATATGACCTTGTAAAAGAATTAAATAACTTATATCCTCCTAAATTATAAATTCCAGACGACTCTAAATATGACTATTCTCTAGACTATCCGAAGGCTAGCGCATCATAATCATCGAGATAAAATATAATAATAACTCCTGTAATAATAAAAAGCATCCTGGACGTAGTTAACCCCCTTAAGAAAGTTTTATGCGGCAAGACTCCGCCATGAGGTCTAACCCCTTACCCTTCCATATACCAAGTTTGACAGAAAAGGAATTCCATTCGTATAACTTCTATTGACAAATGGTTCCCCTTTTTAAAACCTGGTTTAGAACTTTACATCCCTCTTAACTGCTTTAAATGTATTGTCTATAAACTACGAATAAAATTACAAAACCAAAACGTTTTCTCACAAAAAATGCACCCGTTTGCCTTTTTGGGCCTTTTGATAGGCCAAGTGACAGATTTCCCTACCCTTTCATATACTCCCACTAGGGGAGTTGACAGGGCAGTGCTAATGCCCCTTTACTCCTCTAACATCCCTTCAATGTCAAACTTGCCTTGTATGTTCACCCATAGCACTGCTTTTCATTATAAAAACTTGTCTTTAAAATTAAAAAAAGCTCTTAAAGCGCGCCGCGGTGTGTCAAATACATCTACGACGGGATCTAACAAGAAAGCAACTGTTTCTGGGTGTCGCTCAAAACGCTTCGTTTTCGACACATTATCAACCAATCTCATGTCGCAGAGAAAACATCGAACGAAATAGGAGCTAATAAACGTATGAAAAAATTTTTTTTCGTTGACTTGCGCGATTTGTTTGGACAGTTACGTTATAGCGAGAGACCTATGTGGTCTCTTGATAATAAACATTTTCAGCTTGTATGTTTTGTTTTCCCATTCCAGACCACGTGATGGTACCCCAGATAACTGTTCTTTCAAATGCCGTCTTTGTGGTCGTCCATGTGCATATTCAAGAAACGTACGTAGTATTTACTTTGAGAAGGTAAATTTCATTGAGAACATCACGTGGTCTAAATTGGGAAAGCGAAACCTACAAACTAAAAAGGTCTTTAGCAAACATGAAATAGGAGGGCGTATTTCTTAAAAAGCTTTCCTTGCGACCGTACAAGTTTTTTTCTTTCGAAAAACATTGTTTACGGTGAGCTGCGTCAGTTCTGCTTGTTAAAGTTAAAGAAAGTGTTGACCTTTTTACCATTATTATGTAAGAGTTACCAGAGAAGAAGCTACATTGGTCTGCCTGGTCATCAAGACTGAATTGCTCATTTGCACCTGAAAACCTCTCGTCGTTCCTTACAGTTCTTGCATTTCACATAACAACACCAGTGAAATTTGCAGTTGCACTTCCATTTATGCACAATCTCGTGAGTATTGTATCCCCTGCCGCAGCATAACAGTTCGCATCCTCCTTCTTCAGTAGAAGTCTTGTTACATTCCCGGTCCACGGTTCCGGTGATTCTTTTCCCGGCGCTGCGCTCGCAATAATTTGGGGAATAGTCGACGTGAACGAGAGTTTTTGGTGAGGGCTTTTGGTAACCATTTGTGTTGAGCGTAAGGAAGGCGTCTCTTCTGCCATAACGGGAGGGGATTTTGTATGCCCGAACCCGAGCAGATTCTTCATATCGCTGTCTTAAAATAAGGCCCACTTTTCGTAGGGTAGGAAGCGCCTGCCAACATGTCCTCATGGAGCATGATCCAGATGTCCCATGGCAGTGACACTCTATTTCCAGACTTTCTTTGAGCGCCTAAGGAAAAGGGTCCCCAAGGAAAATACTGACTTAGCCGACGTCTTTTCAAAAATTGTAATAAGAAACCCCATAATTCTACTGTAAGGGCATGATGCTGGCTGTATCTATTTATCAAACGGAAAACCGAAAAACCGCTAACCCTACCTTTACGGTGGGCTATACGTTTACCATTAACTTTACCTGGACGTCCGAAAATTACAGATCACTATGTCACATGAACGAGAAAATTAATTATAATTTTAGTTGGTAGGTTTTGCCTTATACCACACCTCACACCGAGTCGCTGTAAACTACTTAAGCTTTTACCCGTGGTATTACTACAAAGCCATGAACTGCCTCTCACGACCATAATCATTAATTTGTACCGGCGATGGTGATATGCTTGTTTGTGATTTGGACTCAGCCACTACCAAGAATTATATAGATTCCTCTGAACAAACGAAACAACGGCAAATACGTGTAAAACTGATTCAATCACATTCGTAAGTATAAATTAAGAAAATGATAGTTCCAAGTAACAAAGATTATCGTATTTGTTGATGATCACTTCTTAAAAGGTCTTTATACTCAGCATAACGATGTAAACATGTTATGCCAGGGGAATGAAAAGATCGGCAACATCGCAGCGATGGATGTGATCCTATGGAATGATCCGGAGCAGGATTTATGATTCAAGATCACCCGGATCATGATACACTTCAAAGGAACAGCTAAATTCTATCTGAAAAAGGATAAATCGGCATGTTTGATGCATCATGATCCGATCGATGGTGGATCATAAGCAAAGTTTTTTTAAAGACTTCTTGGTGTACATGCATGTGCGACGCAATTAAAGGTACAAGGAACAAACACAGTAACTCTTGAAACTCAGTAACCTTTTGAAAATTAGTGCCTTTGGGCATAAATCAGCACTCATCATAAGAGAGATCTAGAATTAAGTTTACGACGAACGGAAGTGGCCAGGTTCATGAAGGGTTTTCTTTTTAAGGAACTGATCGACTGTGTTGTCGCGTTTGTAAGGGAGTAGAATACAAGGATTTAGTTTTAATAACTGTGTTGAAAAGGTACGGTAAATTGGCCACTGGAGTGTGAGATTTGCCTAGTCCCTTGGCCTCACTTTCCACGCGGCCTATGCGTTTCGGATCACGTGGTCCGTTCGTCTCGGAAGGGGCACTGAAATGCGTTGACCATGAAGGCCTGGGCAAGTGGAAGCTGACGTTTCGAGCGCCAGCTACCCCTTCGAGAGAATCAGATTCAGACTAACAAATTCATAAATTAGGAATTGAGGGGATGAAAACTGTGCAAAATAATTCTTATGGATTAACCTGTCAAAACGTCTTATTTTCGAGTAGACATAGTAAACGACAAGTACAAGTAATCACGGGGTAAAAACCGAAGTTTGCACGGCATTTGCCGTAAACGTGATTCCAAATCTCAAGATACAGTGTCCACGTATATGCTGCTTGAACTTATGCTATGGTTGTCCAGGCGTGAACCAGCCTTAGCGAAGAGAGGTGTGATATAAGAACCAAAAACCAACTTTAAAGCGAGCACTTGGCAAAATTGACGTTGTTTTCAATCATTTAGCAGAACTTGCTGGTCTCAAGTTTTTCAAGAACACACAAGAGATCTTCATGAAGATTTGCTTTATTAAATATCACGAAGCTTCATTTCACTTCGACAAAGTCTACGTGCTAATGTTCGTCCTTCTAACGAGAGTCGTTATCTGTCTCAGTTAAGTTTAAGTTTTTGATTATCTTTACTCTACTTTAAGCTTAATATTATTTAAGTCCCCTGCGCTTGGCGCTCTGTCAAAATTTGCAAATGTTTCCTTGAATTCATGATGACAATTCTTGTCTACGTATTACGTCTGATTACAGACCATACTCTGTCTTGAACGTTTCGCTCTAAATATGACAGTATGGAAGTCTTTTTCCACTCCTTAATTTCGCCTCGTCTATCTTTCGTAAAAACATTAAATGTAAATTAATGCGTGCATGTTTTTGTTCTTGTTTTAAAGCCCATGTGTTCTATTAATACTAAAACGGGCTGACATTTAGTATAACAATGGATTGTCAATCTTGCTGACATTTTGTCACTTGCAAGTGTGCTTCACAACATTTTGGACACACTCTTTGCATCTGACCTGACAACACCAGTGGAACTTGCATCTGCACTGAGTTACTTCGGTGAAGTTATGTGTGTCGTGTCCACGCTCACAGCACAAGGAGTCACAGCTGTCATCGCTGGTCGAAGTAACGTTACAAACACGATCCTTTGTCCCTGGAATTCCCAGCCTGATATCTCGCACACAGTATGTATGAGAGTCATTCGCATACACCAAGCTACGCGAGTCTGGCTTTCTTGATTTCTCAGATTTTAGAACAAGGTATTCAGGCTTTGGGCCTCTGTTGGAGTCTACCGTTATAACTGAAACACGAACGGCGTTGTAGTAATATTCCTTTAAACGCTCGCCAATCACACGGATCGACGGAAGCGCTTTCCAACAGGTTCGAGTAGTGCAGGATCCCGAGAGCCCATGGCATTTGCATTCGAGAACCAACTTTTCCTTAAGAACCTAAAGTGAGCGAGAAAAATGTCCCAGTTTTAAGAAAAATCTCTGTCTCTCATTCCGTTACCAGAAACAAAGGCGTCACTGTCGAATTTTTGTGGTCTCATGTCGCCAGTCTTTCAGTAAATCCAACAAATAAGTTTCTTTTTCAAATTGTACTCTGCACGATTTCTCCGTCACATTTTGCCATTTTTAAATGCATATTTTCGCCTTGACTCCAGTCTGCATCGTCGAATTCTTGTCCTTTTTTTGCGAGTAATAATGTGCGACGTTTCATTTAGCAAGACGACGGTTGATTCGATCAATTTTTAAACTTTCCTGAAATTCGCGAAACATTCTTATACCACACCTCCCCTCAAAGAAAAGTAATTCTTAATGCAGCAAAGTTAAAAGCTTTAAATAAAATATTTATGTAGGTATCTTTCATGTTGATGTAGTAGCAATTCATTTAAGCTCCTTTAGCAGCCGTTTAAATTACCAGGGCGCAGTAAAGAAGGGAAGAAAGGTCAAGGCACGAGCTTTAGGGTAGAGACCTCTGGGAAAGAGGCAAACTGTCAAGCATTACCATTCCTTACCCAGAGATTGGGTCGTCTTACAAGAATTAAGATGTCAATCACCTTATTACATTACAATTTTTAGCGACGTACCCCACAAACACGTAAGACTCACATTCGCTGCGAATCTTTTCATCTTAACCCTGGAGTGCAAGAGGGTTCTTGGTTGAACCGGCCTGTCATAGGTTTTTCAAAGTTATTATTGTCAAAAATTCTTCTCTTTAAATGCTATGGTTACAAGAGAAAAGTTCATAGGCTGCGTAACAATGAGCCATTTATGCTAACGTTTATTCAAAACAAATTAAATCATTTAGGATTTTTTTTAAATTTCTCCGCCATCTTGATAAAATCCAAATTGGCAAGTAAAATTACAGATGCTAACCATTTAATGACGCCATAGGTTGCAACCTTTCAATAATCTTTGTTATTATTCATGCAAAATATTTATCCATTTCTGATTGGCTAAAAGCCCGCAGATAATTCATCACAACTAGCCACTGTTAACCAAATTGGGAAGAAGTTTGCGATATGTGAAAAACTACAGCATAATTGTCAGAAAACTGGACAGTTAACCGAGAAGACCTGGGTAGTGAGTACAAAATGGCGGAACATTTCACTCGTTTCGCCAAGAAGAAATAGGCGAACTATGGGCTAAAAACATAGCAAGGACAGGAAAAATACAACTCGACGGAGGCGGTACAACATCAGCTACTTGGAGAACATTTGTAGAACTGAACAACCCCTGATCTCCTAAACTTGCCGATAAACGGGCAATTGAAGATGAACTGAACATCGATGGAGGTAAGTATGTCTTGGTTTGTTTTTAGACTAGGAATTATTTTGAATGAATAATAAAACAGTTATTGAATTCGGCTTTCGTATCATCTGAAGAATTATGGAGATCTCGGAGGGTGTTATGCCGATAAAACCCCTCTCGATCTCCACAGTTCTTGAGATGATACGAAAACCGAATTCAATAATTGTTAAATATTATCATGCATTCCGTAAAAACTGAGGAATCAAGTTGTCTCTGAAGTTTCTTTCAGACTCCAACATTTTAACCCGTTTACTGGCTGATGGTATGAAACCATAATGATTATCGGCATTACCGTTGTTTGCTCTTACTCTGCCGTGATATGAAAGTCATAACGAAGCCTGTTGAAGTTTCACGCTATATTTTATAATTAAAATCAAAGCAAAAGATCAATTCATCAAGGAGTCGAGCTGTTATTGTTTTCTACTAGCTCTGGTTCTCTCTTCGCAATTAACTGAGACTAAAGCTGTATTTATCCACTGTTTCAACTAAATATAAACCGTGATTTTCCGTTCCCTGGAACAAGAAAGAACCTGTGAACTAGCTTGTCGTGAGGAAGGACGGTTGTCCTCCGTTATACTTTCCTATTCCTTGTGAGTAACGCCGCCGGCTTACCAAAAGTAAGAAATGGCCGGCTGGATAGGTAATTTGTAAATGAAATTTGCCTTTTTCGAGAGTTTTAGCAACATACCAGTAACTATCCAGCCTCACTCAGGGCCCTCGGGAGGACGAGGTTGATCACGGCCGTGGACACAGGTTAGAAATAGACTGATAAATAAGAGTGACTTTTCTTTACAACTAGACTGGTCTGGCCGGTCAGTTCATTGTCAGCGGCCTGAGGAAAGTGTGAGAAGGATGTTCAAGCTCAACTTCAATCTCTTTGCGAATATGTCCGACTTAAAGAGCTTCATGGCCAGGAGATGTCCCTCCTCCTTGATCGTTTCGTCTATCTTTAGTTGAGAAACGGCTATTTATAGGTAACTAAGTAATTTTCTGACGTAACTACAGAAGACGAAGCTACTCCAATAGATAATCAGTGAACCTGAGATAGTTATAATATTTCATGTACGTTTCCTTTGGTAGCCTAACTCTCTGTTAGGAACTTGCCACTAAAGAATAATAGAAAACTGGCTTCTCCTTCACTATACAGGTGGGAATAACCTCGGGACGTGCTCTAAGCTCCTTTCCAAAAATAACTTTATCTTCCTTGTATTAAAAGTCCTGTTATGAAAATAACGTAAAGTATGTTTATCAAGTTCCCAGCTGTTAAGAACCCACAGCTAATATTATTCTCTGCAGGAGGGCAAACAGAACCAGGGTTTTAATTTAAAGAGAATTTAACAAAATAAAGGTTTTCTAGATCATAGTGTGAAGCTATTATTTATTTCACAATAGTTAAAATTGCTCCCCCATCGAGAGGGAACGCTTGGCAAAGAGCATGACTGTCTCTGCTACAGTCACTCTCTACGTAACTTCAATCAAGGGATGAGGCCGTTAAGATTTTCTTAAAAAGTTAAACATGAACTTAGAGGAAATTTCACTTTCAACAGGAAAAACATTCTCTCAAAGACGTGTGGGACGGCACGTCGAAGACGTTAAAAAGAACTCGTTTCCATTCACGACTCTCTGATCGGAGGCTAGCAGGTACCGAGAAAGCAGAGACTTGTTCCAGCGCCTGTTCAATGTTTTAGCAAGTTGTAAGCTTTTCGTAACGAATCTTCTAAAAACAGTACACGGTTCACAAAACCAATCCTTTCCATAAACAGGCATAAAGAAATCACAATGCAATTAACGTAAGAAAAAGTTATCATTAAAACTGATGTCTTGGTTAAATGCAAGTTTGTTGCCTCAGCGCACAGCAACTTTACTAAGTTATATAAGCTAAAGAAGACGATTTTTAACTCAGGGAAGATAGCGACAAGTTATGTTTCATATAAGCGAGGTGGCGGAGGCATGGTATTAAGGCGTCTCGTGAATTGTCTAATGGTTATCCTCTTACGTCATGCATTGCCCTATTTTTGATGGTTTCATTTAGTTCGTTTCTTGCACATTTTGTGTGTTCGAATCATTTCGACCCCGCGAAAACCTTTTTTTCTTCACCTCATTCACAAACACAGCCCGTCAATCTGAGATGGATGGGTTATAATTAAATTGGGATTTTGTAATTAAAATATCGATTCAGACAACGGGATATTGAGTCAACAAATTCAGTATTCGTGCAATTTTAAAAATTACATTAAGATAGATTTCTATAATTCAATGCAGAAAATGTATTTTTGTTGCTAAAAACTAAAACGTGTCAAGACACAAGATATACAGTTGGTCTTTGGAGACAACAGGTCGAGATCAGTTGCACGATATTAAGAAACGAGGTTTCTCTTGAAACCTCTTTCGATCACATTTTGAAAACAATAACTTCCAAAAGAAATTAAAGATGCTATTTCGTTCAGATGATTTTGAACCAACGGTCTTAATTTCCTATCATGGGGTCTTGTGGTTAACTAATAAAAACTTTCAATAGAAGTTTTATCATGTTTTATCAAACAATATGGGTGCAGCCAAATGAAACGAAACCCATTTTTTTCTCTTTCTTTCTTTTTTTATTTCATATCTATTTATTAGTAATACTCTCATGCAAATACTTGAAGGTCAGTTCTGAGAAAAAAGGATTCCTTAAATACCTAGAATGCCACACGTTGCATCGTTCAGAGTTACCGTGATGGAAACTATTGTACATCAAATTAGAGCCCATGGAAGAAAACGGTTTCGTGCAAAGTTACGACATTGTATGACGAAGAAAATCCGCGATTGTTTAACTCTCATTATCATTAAGTAATTAGAAAAGCAATTATGTCATTGAGGTTGTGTTATAGGCCACCTACCTGTCTGCCTGCTTTGTTGTTATGCTTGTTCATCAAGTATATGGCATCGTGCGTGTTGTGGCGTCCGTTCACAAACCGTCTGGAAAGATTCATACCATAACCGGTGTCAACTGAGCAGCCTCCCCACATCCAGCCTTTGCGGCTATTCTGCCCCCATTTTTCCCTGTCGCAGTTGCACTCGGATAAATTACCCATGCTGCAGGCTCTTGTGATCGTATAGACAACTCCAGCAGAAACCATGGATTGTGCGAAGGCGGCTTCTTTTGTACCGGCTACAAAGCGACAACGACAACGTCATTAATTGGACTCCCGTAAAATATAAGCGAGGCCAACTTGTCGGAGGAGGAGAGTGGAGGAGGGGGGGGGGAGGGGCGCTGTGACCGTTATATGCTGGCGACGGACAATTGCTTGTCGAAACTTTAAAAGAGAGCAAACTTGACGTGGCCCAAGCATTTTTTGAGCATAAAATGGCACTATTCTAAAGTGACAAAGATGTTGTTACCAAAATCTTTAATTTAAATCCCCTTAACGAGATGACGAGCGTTGCTGTCTCTTTCAAATGGGAGACCAACCCCTACTCTTTCCCACTGCGCGGCGGGTCTGACAATTTTTTCGCGTTTAACATCTCATCCACGTAACTCCGCCGTATCTTGAGTCATCAAAATCCTTTTTTCAAACATTTCAATCAAACGATATTCATACAGTACAAAGTGATCATTTCAAACTGATGTATCGACGCCTCTGGTTCACAGCATTGTATAGACTAGATAACTTCCAATTTCCCAGAATGAATTTGTTTTCTACAAAGATATTTTTTCTTCGCGCCTTGTCTGTGTGCCATATGCTGCTGTCATTTTAAGCCTACCTCTTAAGGCAACTTGAAAACGCCTTCGTAACTCAAACATTTCTTACACCGCAAATTAATTTTAAAGGCACATGCTAAAAATAACTTTTTTAATCGAGTTATCAAGATAAAATGACTTTGCTTTATTAAAAAAATGGATCGTAAATTTTCAATGAGGTAATTAAAATAAGCCTTGTCAGTAGTAAAACGTTTACAGTGTGTGAAAGAAAGAGAAAGACATTGAGAAAGGAAAGTAAAAAAGTACTCAACGTTTGGTATTCTCAGCAAAGTTAAAAGAATGAAAATTGACAGTTTTTGTTAAAAGTACAAAATCTCCTAATATGAAATTTCAAATGAAAGATTCCTCTCCACTACACTGGCAATTTCTCCTTATTGTAAGAGTCGTCTCTGCGAACCGACAGAAAAGGATTTAGACAGGTCTGCATTTTAAAACACCGCTCATGATCATTTACATAGCAACATGAAGAGGGAACTGACAAATTCGATGCCGCTATTTTTTCTATAACAACTTCCTATCTTCACCAATGCATTTACCTAAATGACTCTGGCGAAATTTATAACTTCTTACATTTATGTATAAACTTTTTTCACGGTTTTGTTCAAGACGGAACATTTCATCATGGTTTTGTCTGTGTTTCTCTTGGTGACTACTCAATCTGTTGAAATTATCTTCGTTGAGACAAGCGTTTACGATAGAACTAAACGGAAATGTAATAGAAGGCAGCGGTAATTCATTAGCTACACTGATTTAGGTTAAAAGCATTGATGACAGTTTATGGACAACCTTTGACACAAGCACTTATATCATAGACTGTTAGCACTTTTCATGTCCTAAACATAAGTGAGCTCTCTTAGCTTAATCGGCAGCTATTGTATACCAAACAAACAAATAAATACGATAAAACGCTTCAATTTAGGTGGCGCACTAAATTAAGCCACGAGAAACTTCCTAATATTTACAGGGGCTAAAGAGCAAACTCATTAGGAAATAGTAATCTTACTCACGTATTGCCAAGTCATCGAAGTCCGAGCTCTGCCCCAGAACAGTACAATTCCATCTGTTGTTGCGGAATTGATTTTTGCATTCTTTGGCGGCTTCTTTATAGCCTTGTCGAATACAGTTTATAAGGGTCGGTTGTTCTTCGCAGATCCTAATTTGTTCAGGCGAGAGGCCAGGGATCCTACTGCAAATCAAGCTCGGACCAAATGTTGCAGCTGACGAAACAAACCTGTCATAGTGTCAAGAGAGATAAAAGGCTGATTGAATCATTGTGTCTCAACAAAGCACAAGGAGAGGAGAATACGACTTTACTTACAATAACGGAGGTTTAGCGTCCAGCACGTTATGTGCGAAGACCGTTGCAAGCAAGAAGCTTATTAGCGTTACCGCGTGTTGCCTTTCCATTTTAGCGACCTTAGCTTCGTTCTTTTCATCAAGCCGATAGACAGATTCAAGATTATAAGCCCGAAATATTGGTTGATATTCTTTCTTCTGATTGGTCAGAAAAGAAACTAATAAAATCTTTAATTTACTCTGTGGCCAGAAAACAATTGGAAAGGAATTTGGTTTTTGAATATTGTTTCCTAAGTTACAGGAATTTGAGCTAAAAAGTTTGCCGAACTTTATTGTACATCTCTCGAGGCAACATTTCGTATTTCCAATGGCTGAACTTAAAATTTGCTTATTTCCGAAACCGAAGGAAGATGTTCAGCCTTTCTAATACATCCATTCATGACCATAGGGGTCTTGAACTTATTAAAACAGCCATCGATAAGAAAGAGGTGTTTTAATTGAAGATTATACTAATAGTGTATGGCCAACTTTTATTACGGCATTTTGTACAAAATATAATTACTTATGGAGGCATTTTAGAGGTATTTGAAAAACAAACATCGACCTCATTATTGTTTGATTGAACGACGCTTTTTCTCTTTGACATGCCGAACTCGTGCCAAAGTAGACAGAGCTCTTCAGCTTTAGTTGAACTCAAGCGATTCAAGGACATGCTCGGCACGCTTCGCTTTCTTGAATCCACTGATCACGTTTTTGAAAGGCGACAACTACACTACAATAAAGAGGAGAAACGTACGTCCTATGTTCTTTTATCGGAGTAGTTCAAACATTATTTAAGCGAACAGCGCCATAAACGTGTGAGTGTACTAATGAAGGGTCAGTTTTTCAAACTTTCTAATGAAAACCTAATGCAAAAACGCCCTTTAGAAACCCTTTCGTGAACTTCTTGTTCCCAATTCATTTAATATTTGTTTCTGCCTCTTGGCTTGAACATTTAGTGCATAAACGAAAGTATAGGCGTTGCCGTTCAGGAATTACACCGGGTTGTCAAAGATAAGGATCTCAACTCTCTCTGACAACATAGTTTTATTTAAAAGGGTGTGTTGTACCGCTAGATGAGTGGGGAAAGGAGACTATAAGGGAACGCCTTTATTTCAAATCTAGAGAAGGATTATCTCTTGATGCGCAGTTTAAAAGTTGCAGCTGTGAATTCATCGTTGCGTTTTTACCTTCTGTGACGAGAAGGCTATTTTCTGTTCTGACATTTCAAACGAGATTTGAAGATCGAGGTTCATATTTCTGCACTGGCTTTGATTTCAGTGAGAAAGCACCCAGTCATGATGACTGATTCCTACTGCAACTAAATTGGATTTTTATCTCATCGTTCCAGTAGAAAACCTATGCTGGCTGTACTAACTTCGACAATTTTCCGAGGCAAAATGTACTCTTTGTAGGCACTCGTTCCGAACCCTGCCTGTAAATGGAAAAAGAAGGACAAAATTAGTTAAGATTATATAAACCAAAATGGCTTATAGTTTCTATTAGCGCTTGCAGCTTACACTGTACATAAATCGTTTTGACAGATCATTGAAGCTGAACGAAACGGTCGAAAATCTTTTGTAAAACTCTGGTTATTAAATCGGCAAGATTGGTCTTTTGGATCCGCCTTGTCATTCAGTGGTCACGCTTGAGAGCCAGATCGAAGTATGATTTCAACAAACTTTCAAAAAATAACTTGGGATGTCTTAGATTAAAAAAAAAATTCTTATTAGTTCCACAAAAGGAAAGTTTTTCTTACTTTCACTAACTTCTTCGTAACAATCTTTCGTTCTGTCCGTCTACGTTTCGGTCAAAGTTAACGTTTTTAAGCAACCGGTGAAGGTGGATAAGGCCAGGTTAAATTAACGTTATTAATAAGCTTTTTGCAAACTCTGTTTATTTAGTTAATATATGGATTTAAAAATTTGGGGCCTGAGTTGATAAAATCGTTAATTCACTTATCTTTGATCAATTCAAAGAGTGAGGAGGGAGTATTAAGTAATTAGAATAAACTGATGTCAAGTTATTATTTATACACTGAAACAATAAGCGATATTGTAAATTTCCAGTAACAGTTCCGTCAATTCTACCTCTGCACCGACTTGTACCATCAAAACGACCGCCGATTTGAATAACGAGTGAGCAAAATGATGAGTCAAGTTACAGCATCAAAATCTTTAGATTGCCTGTGCAGTTTTCAAAACGAATTTCTGGAAAAGTGGGTTAATCAGCGTTAATAATTTAAGACTTATAATGAGAATCTGCTGCAACACTCTCGATGTTTCACCATGCCTGACTTTTGTTATGTACTATGTGCTTTTCTTTACGATGATCAGGGGCACCCAACGACAATTTTCGGAAAAATATCTGTTCGGAAGACGATTTGAGATCTAGAATTTTCGGAACATTTGTTGTAAAATTTCTTGCTTGCCTGCCTCTCCTAGGATTTTCGGACATCTAAAAAATGGTATAATTGCCTATTTTTAACGGATTTTTACCGTAAAAAGGTCACCTAGAATTTTCGGGAGCCTTCTTCCTGGCTAAAATTTTCGAAAATGATGTTTGACTAAAGGTAAAATAACGTTTAACAACAGTGAAGCCGGTTTAAGTCGCAGCGAAGAATAATTTCAGTCCAGTGACCCTCGAAATTGCGGCAGGCGGTTGCCGAGACCGCAAGAATTGTCGGCAAACACACTCCCCAGCAAAACAAGCAGTCTCTTTTACATCAGGTTGCCGTGAAAGTTGTAAAGAACTCGGCATGCTAAAGAAAACCTCTCTATTTATTTCTCATTCACTGTAACCACACACAGAAGCCGATGATAAAAGGAAAACAATTAACTACAAGCGTGCCTAACCACTGTGAAATTAACGCCGCGAGACTAAGTCACGTTTGGCGCAGCCGCAACGTTGTTTGACAAAATCTGAATGTCAGACTAATCTCCGGCACGAAAAATACATTTCTGCACCAAACTGAGAGCTAACCGTGCAACCCTCGTACAACATTTAAGAAGATATTTACTCAAACCCGTTTTAGGAGGACACGAAGGATTCTGCTTGCATTGAGGTTTATAGAAAGGTCAGCTTAAAGTGGTTAATTGAGCATATAACAATTTGTCTATTCTTTCCAGTAAGATCAATCATTTCTCAAGGAGACTAATGAAAAATCTAAATTTATATTTCATTTCAAGGTTATTTTAAGACTTCATTCTAGAATAAGATTTTACACAAATATGACCATAGGCCCAAGCTATACACCCTGAAGGTTTAATTTCGAAGCATTCCAATTTAATGAAACACATGACTTTTTTTCTGTATGCAAATGAAAAACCAAGGTTCCTTAAAAGGGAATTTTGGTTTCAATAACCTCAAACTGCTTGCCGAATATTCCAATTAGTTAGTGTACTCAGAAACTCAGTACAGAGGTCCATCTGACTAAGCTGTTGAAAATCGACGAAGTGTGTTTCACACTCTCACAAGCTTTAATTTTGTTAAACCTTTGTGCTGGGTGTCCAGCCTTAAACACCTTCGATCTTTCTGTAGATAACTCGGGAAAAGGAAGGAATTTATCTTACCTTCCCGACTTTTCTAGGTAGATCGAAGGGCCTGACTGTTCACAGGGTATCAATTAAGTTTTCACAACAATTTGTGTTGAATTTGAACGCACTTATTCGGGAAACTAGTCAAACCAAGTTGAACTGCTGCATTTATTAGCCACCTTTATTTGCAGGGATTCCTAGATTTTTGGCATTTCCACGGCTTCGACAAATGCACGCATGAACACGAAATTAGTAATTATAAGCATCTTACTCAGCATTGTGGTCACATCATTAAAGGAGCTGTGTCATAGTTTTCTGGTTAATTTTCTTGATTATAATAATAATAACAATAATAATAATGATAAACTTTATTTATATAGCGCTATTTCTAGAAGCTCAAAAGCGCTTTACAGAATTCATAAAAAAGAAAAAATAATAGATTAAAAACTTACATCAAATGATGATAAAAAGAACACCTGATGAATTACATATTAAGTTACAACAAAAATCCTACTTAAAAATTCTAAGCTGCATTTAAAAACTAAATCCCTAAAACTTAAAACGACAAAAACGATGATTTAATATTCTATAATTATATTACTGCGCATCCTTCAATCGCTATTTAAGGGCCTATTTACATGGAGGTGGGAACCCCTGGTAGGTGAGGTTACCCGCTTAAAACACCGCCATCCCAGTGTCACTTTGTCAAGATTATTGAATGGTCGCTAAGCACGTAAACAAGAAAAATACTGGCAAACCACGTGTTTTGGCGATTTATGCTCTTCTTCACTCACTTGCTGTTGTTGCTGCAACCTTCAGTGCAGTGGATTTCTATTGGTACCTTTAAAGATAATGTTAAGCCACCGCCATGGTGAATTTTGCACGGATTTGATGTATCACGAATCCGACCCCGGGTAAAAAGATCTGTTTTGATTTTTCATAATTCTTTCTGGCAAATAATCTTGTAATTAACTATCGATTCATACGGGCTGTCGATCGTCTTCGGGACACGTATTTCCCGACCTGGGATTGACGCCTCAAATGCATGCATACCATAAATTGTTTTCGGAATTTAGAAAAAGCCCACGCGTGGACGGTTAAACGAAACTTCTCGAAAATAGCGCGGGTGTCGCAAATTCTTATGACGGGCCGGAAGAAGGAAACTAATCAATTAATTAGACTGAACTACTTCAGTGATTTGCATTCTTTGAGCTACTATTTGAATAATGAGTGGCAAATTACTGATTAGTGTCTTTATTTCGCACCTCATTTCCAACAGGTCATTATGTAAAGAGAGTTTTTAGAAGTGCCGCAAAGATAAATAACGAGCCGATACACATGCCGCCGGAAAGACTCGCAAAAACGGAGTCTTATCTGACTTCGAATCTGCGAATTGTGGTTTCCCGTCGCAAGAGTATTGCCTTTAGGCGTTCGCCATTTTACTTAACAGCTCATCTAGCGAGACCGCTTGCGCGAGAATTAATTTCTATTGGTCACCTGAATTTTGAAGGTCTAGAACAATTCATGGAGTCCATA